CAGCATGCAGCTGGACGGACTGGCCAGGCTGGGCCAGGCTGGGGGCTGTGCCCCTGCTCCCTGGACTGTACCCTCTCTTACGTGTGTCATTTGCAGGGGTGCTGACTGGCTCGGTCCTGGACAGAGGTGGGTCCAGCCTGGATCTGGGGAAACTTCCAGCACCTTCTCACAGGGGACACATCAGTAGTCCCCTCCCTCACTGCCAAGATAGACTTGGAGCCAGGGAGCTGCCAGCAGTTACTCACAGGGGACATCACTGTAGCCCCTTTCCCACTACCAAAAACCCACTGGACAAAACCACAATCTTTCTGACTCCCTCCTCTCTGTGGCTGTCTCAGTTTGCTTGCTTCTTTTCAACGCAATCATCACCTCTTTCTGGAAAGAGCCTACTCTGAACTAGTTTTACCAGGTTTGCTGGAAGGGCAACACCTTGATGTTTTCTGCCCTTAGCAAGGGCAAGAGATGTGTCCTTTGAGGGAAAGATCATTGTGTGGTATGGCCCAATATATGTGGATCTGTAGAACATTAATTAACATACTAACATCAACACTCTCACTAGTGTTTTCATAGCAAACAAATAGCTATCACTATGAAATTCGCAATTTCCTATTTCCATAATTTTCCCCTGGAATAAGCCATGTATACATTGTAGGTACTTTGGCCACTATGACCATTACACAGTATCATCAGAGGCAACACGCAATTGCAAAGCTGAAAAACAGAGGACTCTGTGATCAAAGACTTTTAGTTATTTTCCAGAAATGCCTTTTTATTTAAGAAATCTGCTCTATAAATTGTTCTGACAAATGTCACTGCTGGAGAAATTCTTTCTCTAAGGGAAGATTTACGATCTATAGGACAGTTTTCTTTCTCTGTATTTTTCAGGAGACTGGATTCATCAAATACAAACTGCTCTTTGATTTGTGTGTCTGCATGTTCAGCACAAAGAAATGAAATACAAGAATGGGAAAAATGACAATACTCTTTATCTATAGGTAACTTTTTGGCACAGGAATATCATCCAGTGTGATCAACTGGAAAGTGCTGAGGTACTAGTGTAGAATGATGTGGCAGGAAGAGGATTTCTTGCAGAGAAAACTGTGCTTATTCTGTTCTGTACATTGGCTACCACACTGGCAGGCACATCAATACCCCAGCGGTTGGTTTTGAGTAGGGACTGCCAAAACACTGCACATGAAGTTTGCCCTTCATGGGAGGATTCCAGCTGAGGAACATCCATCTCTTGAGAGGTCATGACACCAGCTGAAATGTCGCACGGCACAGCCCAGAGCAGAAGTAATTGTAAAGACAACATGTTCAGGACAGAAATGAGAATACAACTTTGGTTCCTCAGAGAAGACTCCAAGGAACCACCAGCAACCAAAACCTGGGACACAGCTCACTTTTCCTCTGACTGGGTTACACATGCCTAGGAAGCTAATTGGCCTGTGACTCAAGGCTCAGTTGGGCCAAAGGCCACAACACAGATCTTCTGAACTTAGAGTGGTAAGGACTTTCTGCTTTCAAGTGGGGTTTTGAGAGGATAAGCTTAGCCAGCCTAGAAAGGACAAATACAATTACAAAATCTGAGCAAGAACAGTCAATAAGGTCTTGTTTAGAAGAAAGCCTCTGAAGAACTTTTGTGCTCAAAGTTAAAAGGTTGCTTGAATTCTTCCCTGAATCAGGACTGAATGCCAAAATATCAGGTGATGTGTGACTTATATGGTACCACCTTTTGCAAGCTGTTTTTTATTCATTAATACACCGATATACCTGAAAAAAAGATGAGGGCTACACTGGCAAACATTTATATACATGCCGACCTGATGCTGCAGCTGTCCTGAACTCCAGGTGCCATATTTTTGTCATCTTCCACTATTTGGGCTGTAATATTGTCAAACTGCCTTCTTTGACAGCATCCATTTTCTGTGTGCTTTCACACTGCTTTGTAATTCGCTGGTTGCTATTTTTTTGATACTGTCATGCCCACGTGATCTCAGAGTGCCCTCAGCTAGATTGGTCTGCCCATTTCATTTGGCCCATAGACAAAAGTTAAACTTTTATTTTATGCGTATAGATATAGTATTATATAGGTATAGATATGCATATATATTGATTCATTTTGTATATGCAAAGATGGGCTTTCAGCACTTTAAATTTCCAAAGAGAACCCCTGTCTTTGTGCTTCGCATAGAAAAACAATAAAAATACCAGTCTTACCACTGAAGAACGATGCTTTAGGTAACTGGATGCTCTATTCTGAAGTCGAATAGCTGCTGTTAATTACAGTTAGCTCCATAAGTATATGGAACTTTTCAAATCATAAAAGTACTTTACATAGTAGAGATTAAGTAATTTTGCACAATATGTGTGACAAATGCAAAAGGTATTATTTGGTGACTTATAGTTTTAAAATGTTCAAGACAGCATTCAAAAGTAATCTGATGCTCACAGTCTCTCTGCTCATCTCTTTGGTTAGGCTGAGTATCATTACTACTGGTAAAAAATATGTTCTGTTTTGTTTTGTTTTGTTTTGTTTTTTTTAAAAAGGTCTTTGCACAATCCAATTGAAAGACAAATCTATGTTGTTTTAATATTTGGTTTGCATTTCTTCTCCCACTTGTGAGTTTTCCTGATTCAGTATTTAAAAAAAAAAAAATCACAGTATCGTTTGCTGATAAAAAAGGCATTGTAGCATATGTCCAATGTATACAGAATTTATGTCCAGGTAAATCACCTATAAATTAGTGTAATTCACATATAAAAATGCTCTTTTTTAAGTTTACATTTTAGGACACAAACTAGTCTCAAACTGTTTAAAAGTAGGCACTTAACCTGCACTTGGCCAAAAATAATATCCACCATTTTTTGGTTATTGAGCAACTCTGATAGCACTTCTCTTTGTAATATGCTTATCAGACCAGTATGCACAGCTGATCATTGGGCATTATCAGCCTGAAGTAGAAACTGAAAATAGCTTCGGTCTTCCTTGGTTCCTTATTCCCCTCATTTCAAGGAAAGGCATAACACATACTTGAAGACAACAGTTGGAGTTTTCCCCCAGAATAAGCCCCAGCTGCAGCCTCTTGTGCTTTTGAGACAGCTTGTTCAACCATTTGCACCACTTGCACGTTCTTCCATGGGAAGACCCCCCACTCTCACAGGCTGTACCAGGCTGCAGCTGAAGCTAAGCACTGATGCCAAGTGCTACTCACCAGGCACTAACTTACAGGAACTGTTTCTTTGGTCACACATCATTTAATCGTGAAACATGATGGCTGGAGTGAACAGTATTTTTCTTCATCCTGAGCCATGGCAACCCTCCCAGGTTATTTCAACACCTGGCCATATGTATTGATGCAGACCCCACCCTATTTGTCCCTGAGCTGATAATATTTGTCCCAATGGTGCTGGCTGATTCAACAGGCACTTAATATCCATGTGAAGCCATGTAATCATTTCCCTGAATATCCAGGGTATGGAGGGGGTGGGGGATACTGTATTGAAGTCTGTGGAGTTGGAGTATAAGGCGGAGGTAGGTCAGCTGGGTACTCCATTTCGTATTCGTAACTGTAGGGTGGTGGAGCCACTGAAATGGGAGAAAAAAGAAGACATAGTTAAAAATCTTTTTTTCAGATGCAGGCCCCCAATTATTTTCTAGTTGACATTCAGGCTTCCATACAACAGTTGTAAAGTCTTCTGGCAATGCGTTCACTTTTTTTTCCAGACTGTCATTACACAGTCACTTTATGTCAATGCAAGTCCTTTCCCTCAGTGCTTAGCCATGTGCCCACTGACACGTGCTGGTAACAGTGTTTGAGTGGCCATATGGCAGATGATATGAGGGTGATGTGGCAGAGCGAAACTTTTTCAGGGGAGGAAGGTTGGGTTTTTATCAGATCCACTCCCTTCCATCCATCCCCTTCATCAGCAACATGAATTTATGTCATCCCAAAATGATGCTGTAGCCAGGACAGAGCTCTCAACCACCCTCTGGACCCCCAGGAGATGTGTGCCATGCCGTTTCAAACACAGCTGAAAGCTCCTCGCTGTACAGCACTGTCACACCTCCCAGGGCAAATGCCAGACATCTTCCCAGGATGTTCCCAGGGCTCAGACTGAGCGAGAACAAAGCTTTCACGTTGTTCACCCCAACAGAGACATCTGAGGAGAGCACTACATTTTTAAACTGGGTCAGGCATTTAGGAAACAACAAAAACATTTACAAACAGCTGAAAATATTTTCTCAACTAGTTCAACTAACTTTAGAGAAAAAGGATTAATTCAGTGATCACAAAGACAGTAAATGCTACAGAATGACAGCATGGTAGGAACCAAAGGCAGCATATCAAGACCCCACTAGAGCAGTCTCCACAAATTCTAAGGTCCAGAGTCTGCTTCTTCTCTGTTCATGTCACCATGGATCCTTTCCTATCCCCTCCCTAGATGTTTCAGGCAGACTGGCAGTGAAATAGCATTTGAGGGAGTAAACGGAAACCTAGGGTATTTGTCACGGGGGAAGAGGCTCAAATCCCAGTATGCCACGAAAATCACTCCCTGCTTTCTGAAAACCCAGGTGCCACTGTGTCTGAGGCCAAAGGAAGGGCACCCCCTCACTTGCTGTTCCTGTCTAAAACAGGTAATGGCAGGGGGGAGGGCTGGACACAAACCCTGTAGCCACAGCCACGTTAGTCATTACTCCACAACTGTTTATGACAGCAGGGAACACAGGAATAATTCCAGAGCTTCCCCATCCTCCAAAAACCTGCTGCTGCTGAGAGGAAGAACTACTTGAACTAATGTTTGCACCAGAAATGGGGAAAGTGCAGAATCAAACTGCCTGGAGGTGGAGAGACAGGGGTGAGTCATTGCAGGAGCAGACTTGGGGAGGAAAAGGCTACAGCCCCGGAGTCTTCATTTTGCTCTTGTTTTTACAGCTTGCAGTGACTTTTATATTCTGAAGTAGCTCTTCAGTAATTCATGGTTGAGAATATTGCAGCTTTCTTTCATTACTCATCTCTATGCAAAACAATGTTGCAATGATAAGGATGATTATAGCTGGTTTTAGTTTAACTGGAAAGTAAGAGCATGCATGAGAGAGAAAACAGACACTCAGAACAGTATGTGATAAAGGAACACATAATAAATATTGCATAGCTTGCCTGTAAGTATATATAATGCACTTGGGGTTTGCTGCAACCTTTGCCACAGGAGGGAATATAAAGGCAGAGGATCTCTAAGAGTGGGATGATGGGACTTCATCCATGAAACACCATTGCTTTTTATTACAGTGAAGTCTCAAGTTGTCCCAAGGCAATCGTTCCTGGATTTGTCATGAACAGTGCCACTGAAGCAGAGACATAGTTGCACTGCATAAACACTGTTATGCTGCCTCCACGGTCAGCTTTCCGCATTGTGGCCATTTTCAGGTGGTAGGGAGCCCAGACAAAAAAGCCCAGCAGACCCCAGCTGGCTTGGTGCAGGTCCACCTTTGGTGCTTTTGTACCCCAATCCTAGACTGGCACGAGTTGATAAGCGTGGTGTAGAGAGCGGCTCTGCATAGAGCTAGCTCAGGTACTGCCTTATGTAGCAGTTCCCACTCACTATGGGCACAACTGCACTGGAGCAGACCCATGAGGGGTCTCTACTGTCCCCTGGGGTGCCCCAGTACCTGTCACAGCTTATGAGCTCAGTGCCAGATCTGACTTGGGCTCTGTGCTTCCCCTGGTGCTGCCCTGCACCTAAAAAAAACATTACACCACAACAATGTAAACCCACAGACAAGCCTGTAAGCTAGAGCTAACAAGCACCGGCAGATCTCAGCTAACTTTGACCAAGGCACAATGGGCACCTCTGCACCATGCCCCACGTTCCCATCAGTGCAGGCATGGTGCCAGGTGGATGCAGAGAGCTAGCTTGGATCCAGCACTGCAAGCCAGCACCGCAAGCCAGACAGCTGTGTGGAACACAGCAGAGAGCACCCTGTAAAGATGCTTGTGTGCCTTTCTAGAAGTCATCTGGGATCTTGCAGCACCCAGCAGGGCTTGTGAGCTCTGGCCAAGTACCAGCCAGCTCAGGCTGCATTAGACTCCACATGGCACCACTTGAAGCCTTTGTGCTATGACCCACAGACCTTATTGTCCAGATTTTCTCCTCTCTGTGGGCCCCCTTTATATCGGACAATGAAAGGGAGCTGACTGCATGTGAACAAGAGCAAATACAAGAACGAGAACATAAAAGAAGAACAACTGATCCGTTGCCAGAGAGCCTCTGGCACAGGGAGAAGGTCTGTCCTGCACAATGCAGCAGAGCCCTGAGCGAGGTCTCAACATGCTGCTGCGGGCACCGCAAGCCATACAGCTGTGTGAGTATGGCACCCTGCCAGATCTCATTAGCCCGCTGAGTAGCTGAACAAATTAGCCCGGGCAGAGTGCTGCACTGACGAACACTTTGCACGCTGAGCTGTCTTGCATTTCTCAGCAGGGAGTTGTGCTGTTCCCCTCCGGACTGGGAAGAGCCTCCTGCTGTATTCAAGTCCCTCATTTACTGTGGAGCCGTAACTATCCAAAGATACGCTGCTGCCATGATCGCAGGCACTCTTGCAGGGGTGTCATTTTGCTTCCTTACCTGGGTATGTGCTGATAGTGTTGATGTGCGTCGTTCGGATGACCCCTACTCGAGTCCCACGGTTGTTCTTCATGCACATGCAGATACAGATGGCAATCCCGGCAATCACACCCATTATAAATACGATACCAAAAACAATTCCAGCTATCGCTGTGCCTCTGCAAGGGGAATAGAAATACGCAGTCAGTCTCAGCCAAATAATGTTTACAAAACAAAATTATTTTCTCAGGAGCAGCCCTTGTTTGAGGAAAAAAGCACACATCGATTACTGAAAATGCTGCAAATTTTGACCCATCAGGGCATCTGAACAGAAGAAATGAAAGACCTCCAAGACCAAAATGAGAAACTCTTTCAAAGTCGCCTTTGCTCTTGTGCCAGATCACTCTGCTGATTTATCCTATGCTAAATCTTCCCATTCCACAGCTTTCTGAATTTAACAACTTTTAAATATTACCAAGAATAATTTCTTCCCTTTCCCTCATCACACAAGACTATTTTTCTCTTTCCTAAAAGGCATCAGTATGATTTTCTTCTGAAAAGAAAGAGGAAGTTATCCCCAGTAATATATTCCAGAAGCATCCCGAAGCGCCTGCATGCTGTGCTTGCACAGGAATGGTTTTGTCATTGTTTTAGCTTAGGTCAAAAAGTCCTTCTGCTATGGTTCTGAGCCCACAGATTAAGGAGAGCCTCCTCTTCTTGAGGATGAGCAGCAAGAAGCAAAGCAAATGCCCACTCTTTCATACATCTGCTGCTGCAGCCAGCACAAGTATTTGAGGCTTAAACGATTTCTTTTAAAATGGTCCAGAGGAATTAATTTAGGTCAGCCCCTGAAGTAATGAATCAGACTTTCCTTGAAATTGCATAGAGAAAGGAAAGGAAGCCTTATTGCACTGACACATGGGAGAAAAACCTCACCAAGAGGCACTGAAGAGCTCCCAATAATATTGAGGGCAAAATCAGTCCCTCTGATGAACCCTTGTTCACTCAGGTTTGTTGTCACGCACAGGCAGTGAAGCATATGTTATACAAAAGATGGTATTTATAGCCTGACCTTTTATGAAAAAAAAACCCAGTGACCTGCCAGAAATATTCTTACCCTGTGCATCTCTTCATCTTCCAGAAAAGATTTCAAATTGCAACCTTGCTGGCAACTTTTTTTACTGGACGTTTTAATCAAACCAAACTGATAGTTTGACAAGATGAATAAGCTCCACTAGGAATTATTGCAATCCAGGGAATAAACTGCAATACTACCAAAGACAAATATTAAAAGTTGTCTAAAACAGTTTGACTTCCCCATATAAGTGCGGGAATAAGTGGCAGGCCTGATTTTCAAAATGCTGATAGCCTCTGGCTTCCTGTTTTGCCAACTGATGGGGTTAGCACAAAGGACACAGGCACCAAATTAAAGAAGTTATCTTATTTTTAGTTAGATTTAAAGTGATAAAAGAATGAGAAAAATAATACAGTGAAAATAAATTAAAGCAAGATAAAGCAGCAAAATAATAAGTGAACTACTACAGCAAGCAGAAAGTAAGGTAATGCACCTAATCATTACTACATAGAGTTAGCGATAGTGATTAAGAAAGATACATCACCAATTGCCCTATTAATACATTACCATCATCCAGGCACTGGGGAGCCCAGTTGCAGCGAGGACTTGGAGAGTCCTTCCCAGCAATTGGGAAATGTCTATACAGTATTCACTGTATAGATGAGGCTTCCAAATTTCCCTGCAAATGGTCCCTGCTTTCATACAGCTGAATAAACAACTTTCTGTCTTAAACCGCAAAAAAACATCTGGTGTAGTTTTCTCCTTGTTAACTTCTGTCTCGAGCCTGTCTGGGGCCGAAAAGGGAGATAACAAGAACAAAAGAATCTAGCAATCTTGATTATGTATCTCTCAACAAAGCTTGTCATGACTTGCCACATTCCTTTGCCATCTGCAGCAACAGGGCACATCTGTGCTGAATTTTGTCTACTGTTATGCAATTAGTATCTTTCTGCTGGCTAACCTTACACAGCAAGCGTTACAGCAAAGCTCTATAAGCGTTACAACAAAACTTTTATAAACTGGCATATATGAATAAGGTAATACATTGCATATGTGATCAATATTATACATATCAGATATATTGTTAGGTTGTGAGGTTCATCTAGAGGTCAACTTTTGTTGACTGCTCAGGCCCTAGTATTTCACTTCCAAAAAGTCAAGAAGAGTCAGGATGGACTCAATGCTTGAAAAATCAGACCTTCCATTTAGGAACTTAAATATGAATTTAAGAGCTTGGTTTTAGGCCCCAACTATTCAGGAACTTGGCCAAGATGTGCAGTACAATTACTGAATTGTATAGAATAAGTAAACACACACAATTTGCTAACTAAAATACACTGCCAGGGAGCTAAATTGCTCTCTGCTGTTATGTAGCAATGCAGGAAGAGTGTGCAGCAAGAGTAAAACTGTTAATATTTTGCAGAATGTATAAGTGCCTAATTTACGAAACCTTAACTCATGGCAGCAAGCACCTGGCCATAAAACTAGTAGCTCAAAACAGTGATCAGGTGCTTTAGTATTAACCATGATTAGTAACTGAGAAACGCCCCCCTACCCCTCTGCATCCCTGATAGTTTGCACTTAACAAAAAGATAGTCTCACGCTCTTGGAAGATGTGACCAAGAGACCTCCAGTTTTCTCATTCAGCTTTCTCTGGGAACATTAGCTCCACCTTGAGAGAAACTGCCGTATGAGAAAAAGTTTGATTCAGGAGACACTATAACACAACACTCTCTTAATTCCTGAAAGTTTTCTTATAATACCATGATTAAAAACATCAGGCATAATGCCAGGTACCCCTATTACAAACTACAATGAATTGCTAGTGCTTTTGCTACACCCATTTAGTGGATGAAATCCTGGGCCCTTTGCTGGGTGCTGCATCGCAGAATTGCAAGGAACTCTGTTAGGCTGAAATAATCCCTTGCCCAGGTGGAAGAAGCAGAACCAGCCACTGCTGACCACTAGCCTCAAGTCCTGGGTTGTATTTCAGCTTCGCGCACGGTCCACTGCTGCCCAGCTCCTGCATCCCATGTATGCTCTGCCTGGCTGATCTGCTCAAACCCCAGAAACCACAACAGTTTCTTGCACTTCTGACCAGCTGCACACTGAGGAAAACCCAACCTCCATCCTAAAGGCTGACAAAAGTGGGTAACACACAGCATATGTTGCCTTTCCAGTGCTAAATTAAAAGTTCTATACTAACAAACTCCATTTAAAACACAGTTTGAATAGAGTGTGTCTGAGTTGTCTCCAAAGGCAAGGGTCTCCCATTTGTTCCAGAAGTGGTCAGCCAGGCACCATTCGGCCATCTGTCCTGAGTGACAGGTTGCACTCTTGCCTACCGGACAGCCCAGCCTCACCCCCAAAAGCCCACTCTCCCCTTCTGCATGAACAGCAACTGCTCCAAAGCAATGTTGTTCCAGTAACTCAAATGATGATTCCATGATAATTTACATAAGAAGTCAAAGTATTCACAAGGAAAGGAAAAAAGAGGACAAAAGGTCCGATACCATCTTCAAAAGGAGGTTCACCCTTTCCTGAGATATTAAGCAGATACTTGTAAGCTTGCCAGTTTGCTTTGGGTGACAGAACTGAGATCCAAGTACTCATTGCAATCATATAGCTTTTCCTAGTGACTCTTTGGCAGTATTGGCTGACTGGCATTATCTTGCCTTTGCAAAGGAATAGCGGCAAGGCAAGACACAGCTGTAGAATGCCCATCTGTATCTGCTTGCACTTGAAATTCAAAAAGGGCTGAAGTCCACTGGCAGAACTTCCAAGCTGGAAAAGGCGTCTTGGTCTAAACACAACTATACTGAAAAGCAAAAACCACTTCTGCCAGGCTAGCAAACCTGGGTCAGGAAAGAAAAATAAGGAATATCTGCTAAAGTATTTTTTCTCTGGTCCCCACCATAGCTCCTGCTCATATAGCCATGAACCAGGAAAAAACACTTACCAAAGAAAATATTCACCAGCTTAGCTCTGCTGATAAAACTGGTAAGTGCAAGCCTTACTCATGGTTCTGAAATGACGACAAAAGGCAGTTTAGATAGCTAGACCCACCGCTGCTTGTGGATTCAGGTTTTCACACTGCAGTGGTAAATTTAGACCACCTATGGATGGTTACGCAAAGAGAGCCTGAGACATGGAGCAAAAGATGTAGGTCACTTTTTAAATCCGGTTACAGCCTGACTGTGTACCAGCAGAAAGGTGCTCTCTGGTCTCGGTGGGCTTCAGATCAGACCCAGTGCAATGCACATGAAACTGTTCAAGGAATTGAGTGTCTGAGTTGAAAAGGATCTGTTTGAGAAGACTTCAGGAGATGTACTCTCTTAAATATCTATAACAGAACATATATAATGCTATACCACTCTCTGATGGTGAGTCAAAGCGTAAACCCATCCTCATTTGGAGACCTGCAGCCCCTGCCGTTCACAACAGCCCCCAGTAAAACTAGGAGCACTCTATCTCTGAACATCAGGCTGCACCTTCTCAGCACCAAATCCTGGCAGGATGACGGTCATGCAGTAGCTGTTCTGGGCACACAGCACAAAAACACATGCTTGTTCTTTTTGTGGTATGATTAGAACGTTTGAAGAAAAATAAGCATGTACTTTTTATAAAATAGCAAAGGTTTTCTTCATGCTATGAGGGAATTTTTGGAAATAAATATCATATAAATAAATATCCCTTATTTCATAAAAAAAAAGCTTGCTTTGTCTCTCTTTCTCTCACTGATATTTTAGACTTCTGTACAGAGGCACAGAGAGATACAGAGATTTTTCATGCTATCACTACCATAGAGCATTTCAAGGAAAAATGCCTAAGAGAAAAAGGACACTGTAAAGCAAAAGAAGACCTAGAAACCACATAGCAGAGTCACACAGCAACTAGGAAGTTTGAAATAAAGTGAAAACTTTGAAATGGAACAATCTGAAGGAAAACATTATGCAAAGTCCTTTATAGAAGCAAAACCAATGAGCAGAAAAAGACTGCCACAGAAAAACAACACATAGAAAAGTAAGGAAGGAGAGGGAAAATAATTTTAAAATGTCAAGAGAAATTGTCAAGGTAAAAATCATATATTCAAAGAAGCAGCTT